GGGAAGAGATGGGCATGGAGGAGGGCACTTGTGGGGATGAGCACTGGGTGTTATATGTAAACTAACTTGACAATAAACTATTTATGGGGAAAAAAGAACAATGATAGAATCAAACCAGGGGGAAAAAAAGCTTCTGCATGGCAAAGAAAAAAATCCATAAGACAGACAACTGACGGATTGGAAAAATATAGTTGCAAATAACATATCAGACAAAGGGATAATATCCAAAATCTATAAGAACTCACCAAATCCGCACTCGAAAACAAACAATCCAGTAAAAAAAGTTATTTTAAATAAAATCTGAACAGAGGACCATGGGGGAGAAGAAGGAGGGAAATAGTCGGGGAGAGGGAGGGAGGAAAAACAAGAGAGCCTCTTGAATGCTGATTAAATACTGAGGACTGATGGGCGTAGGGGGTGAGGGGGGAGATGGGCATAGAGGGGGGCACTTCTGGATATGAGCACTGGGTGTTAATGGAAACCAACTTGACAATAAACTACTAAATAAATAAAAAATAAATAATGACTTTCTTCACCTCACTGCCCCACACTCTTATGAACATCTTCATAACAATCTCAAGCCTTAATTGTGTTTTACTTATATTCCCAATTTTTAAATAAGCTTCTATTTACATCTAATAATAAAAACAACTTATCAGAACAGGAAAAACTCCTACATTGTTGTATATTCGATCCTCTGCCTCTACTTCACGTTGGATGTTGTGGAAAGCACATAAATCACACATTCTTTAAACTTCACATCTAGGTCACAAGGCTGAGAAGAAAGTTTATTGAAATACCAGATACTGGCAGCAATTCTGAGGAAATAAAGCCACTTAAAATATAACACTTGGTGACAATAATTCTTGCAAAATCGACAACCATTAAATCCAATGACTCCTGACACAACCAGCAACATGGTTGCATTGACACGGATTTATGCTGAGCAGAATAAGCCCTACAAATAAGAGTTCATATAATATAATTACACATGTACACATTCTCTAAAACCAAAAATAATCTGAAGACACATGAGAAAGATTAACAGTTCCGTGGGGACAGGGTGAAGAAAGGAACTAGGAAGGAAGAATTCCAGGGGAACTATAAGAGATTTTAATCAGAATTATGTGTTCAGTCTTGATCATGTTGACTCACATCACTGTTCTATCATATCACACACTCGGCATGTGCACCTCACTCTAAGTCAGGTACATTCATCAAAGCTCCTACAAATAAACACAGAGATTACTCAGTAGGCACACAATGATGTGACATGTTAAAGACTTAAAAATACACCTGCACTGACCCTGATTCTCTCTATGTTTAAGGTAAACTCCAGAGGAAGCAAAATACGTAGCTGCTTATATACGCAGAGGACATGCAAATCAGACCTGCCCTGTGCTGAATAAACCAGCCCAGCCCTGACCCTGCAGCTGGGAGAGGAGCCCCAGCCCAGGAGTCCCAGGTGTTCCCAGTCTGTGATCAGGACAGAACACAGACACCTCACCATGGAGTTTGTGCTTGGCTGGGCTTTCCTTGTTGCTGTTTTAAAAGGTAATTCAAGGTGAACAAGAGACACTGAGTGTGTGAATGGATGTGAGTGAGAGAAACACTAGATGTGTGACAGTTTCCTGACCAGGATGTCTTGTGTCTACAGGTGTCCAGTGTGAGGTGCAGCTGGTGGAGTCTGGGGGTGGTCTGGTGAAGCCTGGAGGGTCCCTGAGACTCTCCTGTGCAGCCTCCGGATTCACCTTCAGTAGCTACCACATGTACTGGGTCCGCCAGGCTCCAGGAAAGGGGCTGGAGTGGGTTGGATATATTTATAGTAGTGGAAGTACAGGCTACGCAGACTCCGTGAAGGGCCGATTCACCATCTCCAGAGACAACGCCAAGAACACAGTGGATCTACAGATGAACAACCTGAGGGTCGAAGACACGGCCACATATTTCTGTGCGAGAGACACAGTGAGGAGTCATCAGTGTGAGCCCAGACACAAACCTCCCTGGAGAAGGGGATCAGCACCACCAGGGGGCGCACACTATGCACAGCTCTGGTTTATATTCCCAGGAGCAGGGACAGATGGAGGTTACAGAAAGGTTTCCTGTCAGGGTCTGGGACTTCCTACCCATAGAGTACTTTCCCCCAGGGATCACTTATTGACACATGATTTTGTGCTTAACTATCAGTTTCTGAATGAGTTACTTAGAATAGGAAACGTATAGGAACATGCACAGAAGACAGAGGTGTTGGCACTAGCTTAATCCTTGCCACTAGAAATGAATTAATCACAGACATTTTGAGGTTCATGAAATGAAGCTTTACAAGATTCCCTGTTGCACTCACTATTTCTTACACGCCCGCCCAGCTCAGTGTGCAAGCTCGCTAGAAGCCGCATACAGTGCGTGGTGGACACGAAGCTGCAGAGGCGCCGAATATCTTCATCTAGAGAAGACAGACTCCTGATTGGCTCATTGTGGGAAGCATGTTCACTGCACCAATATTAGTTGAAGGCATGGGAAACCACATGGACCCCCACCAGGGCACGGTTGGATGTGGAACCTGAAGTTTATACACACACACACTTGGAGGGGAGAGAGAGAAATAGGAGAGTAAGAAACTTTCATGGGCTTCATCATTTAAGAAGTGTGAAACTAGTTAAACTGGATCTGACACAAAATGTCATCAGAGCTGTGTGTCCTTCTGAGGCACAATTGCACACCTTGAATTTCTGGTCATGGCATGTTATATCCTCAGAATCCAGCAGGGAGAATCTTACCACAGACATCAGGTGGTTTTTCCTTTTAGAACAATGAATGTCTCTCTGCCTTGCTCTCATAAGGGTGGTGTGATTCCATTCATGTCCATGCAAACTCCAGGACAATATATCCTTTCCAGGGTCCTAGATACACTCAGAGTTCAATGTCCCTTGTTTCATAGATGGTGATACTCACCGTCGTTGTGCATCTGCAGTTCGATTCCTTAGGAGGTATTTTCCAGAAACTCTCCCCCACACAGTGATCCACCATCTGCTCTGAGAGATGGTCAGTTTTCATTTCTCCTGCAATACTTTCCCTGCTGTCTTGTAACACAACCTCGTATGCACTACTTGAGATGTTGACATAGAATATATCACACTTCACCTTCATCAATTTACAAACAACAACTGCCTATTAACATGTAACAGGAAAACAGGACATTGTTCAATACGGGACAAGGATGTGTTTACAACACAAACCTGGATAAAACCTCTGCGTTTCTTCCCATGCCTTCCTGCTTCCTCTCTGTCCAGGAGGCGGGGTGTGGTTCCATGAGGGATGTGAGGCTCTGATGGACAGGGAATGCGGTGTCCTGCGTGAAACCAGCACCGACCCCAACCTCAGAGGAGACACAGGAAGTGCCCTTCTACTCTCGCCGTCCTTACATTTTCTTGACATCCCAGGAGTGTGCACCTGATGTCATACCTCTGTCCCTTTGGTGTAATTGTGCTCCATGGATACAGGAGGTCAGGACCACTTCCACCCTGAGCATGAAGCTATTTGGGAGGGTCGTTCTCAGGAGAAGCACATCCAATTTGGGTTCTTCATATGTCTGTTGTCAGTCATTCTGTGTGTATCTCAGATATTCCAAGATGTGTAAGATCAGTTACTAATCTAACACACCTGCTCCTTTAGACTCTGCTCAGGTTGTGTGGACTCACCCAGGTGAACGTGGAGAAGGAGTCTCAGGTGTACAGACTCTCGCTGTCTCTCTCATTTACCTGCGTCACCACTAAATTCTCACCAACAGCAGTCGACTTCGGGTATTTTTTATTTAATTCAGTTTTTGCAACTCTAACCTCCAGTTTTTTAGTGCATAGTGAGCAGGCTGTGCTCAGTTGTGTTATTGTAAGACATTTGTACAGTGGATACTTTTAAAGAAATGTACTTATTTAAACAAAATAGTGGATACATTGTCTAATTTTTATGCACTTTTCCCCTTAGCAACCTTGATATGACTCCTCTTTTGAAAATCAATAATGACACCTATATGGTAATGAATATCTATTTTAGATTTTGTACTTATAGAATTTTATTGTAATTAGTTGTTTAACTGATACCATATTTTCTTTTCTTTCCTTTTCTCTTTTTCTTTTTTTTACAAATAGTTTATTGTCAAGTTGGTTTCTGTATAACACCAGTGCTCATCCCCACAAGTGACCTCCTCCATGCACATTCCTCCCTATCCCCACACCCATCAGTCCTCAGTTTGTTCACAGCATTCAAGAGTCTCTCATGGTTTGCCTCCCTCCCTCTTCCAAACTATTTTACCTTCATCTCCCCCATTTTCCTCCGTTAAGTTCCTCCTAATCCTCCTTTACATGCAAACACATGGTATTTGTCCTTTTTCTGCCTGACTTATTTCGCTCAGCATAACACCCTCAAGGTCCATCCATGTTGCTACACATGGCCAGATTTCATTCGTTCTCATTGTCATGTAGTATTCCATGGTATAGATAAACCACATCTTCTTGATCCGTTCATCAGTTGGAGGACACTTAGCTTTTCCCTGCACCATCTGTAAAGGGGCTGTTTTTTTTTTTTTTTCCATTGGATGCTCTTCCCCACTCTGTCAAAGATTCGTTGGCCATTCATTTGTGGGTATAATTCTGAGTTCTCTATTCTATTCCATTTGTCTATGTGTCTGTTTTTGTGCCAATTCCATACTGTCTTGATGATGACAGCTTTGTAGTAGAGGCTAAAGTCTGGGATGGTGATGCCTCTCATTTTGGTTTTCTTCTTCAATATTATTTTGGCTATTTGGGTTCTTTTTTGTTTCCATACAAATTTTAGGATAGTTTGTTCTAGTTTTGAGAAGAATGCTGGTGCAATTTTGATTGGGATTACATTGAATGTGTAGATTGCTTTGGGTAATAATTATTTTTTAACTATATTTATACTTCCAATCCATGAGCATGGAATGTTTTTCCATTTCTTTGTGTCTTCTTCAAATTCCTTCATAAGTTTTCTATAGTTTTCATCATACAGATCTCTTAAATCCTTGGTTAGGTTTATTCCTAGGTATTTTGTGGGTTTTGTGTGCGTGTGTGTGTGTGTGTGCGCTATTGTGAATGGGATCAGTTTCTTGATTTCTCTTTCTGTTGCTTCATTGTTGGTGTATAAAAATGCAACCGATTTCTATACATTTATTTTGTACCCTGAAACTTTGCTGAAATCTTGTATCAGTTCTAGTAGACGTCTGGTGGAGTCTGTTGGGTTTTCTATGTAGAATATCACGTCATCTACAAAAAGTGAAAGTTTGACTTCTCGTTTGCCAATTCTGATGCCTTTTATCTCCTTTTGTTGTCTGATGGCTGATGCTAGGATTTCCAGCACTTCATAAACAACAGTGGTGAGAGTGGACATCCCTGTCCTGTTCCTGATCTCAGGGGGAAAGCTCTCAAATTTTCCCTGTTGAGGATGATGTTAGCTAAGGGCTTCTCATAGATTGCTTTTATGATGTTTAAATAAGTTCCTTCTATCCCGACTTTCTCGAGGGTCTTTATTAAGAAAGGATGCTGTATTTTGTCAAATGTTTTTTCTGTATCTATTGACAAGATCATATGATTTTTATCTTTTCTTTTGTTGATTTGATGTATCACATTGATTGATTTGCGAATATTGAACCAACCTTGTAACCCAGGAATGAATCCCACTTGATCTTGGTGGATAATTCTTTTTATGTGCTGTTGAATTCGATTTGCAAGTATCTTGTTGAGGAATTTTGCATCTGTATTCATCAATGATATTGGCCTGTAGTTCTCCTTTCTGCTGAGTCTCTGTCAAAAAACAAAAAATCCAGTGAAGAAATAGGCAGAAGATATGAACAGACACTTCTCCAAAGAGGACACCCAGATGGCCAACAGACACATGAAACGATGCTCAGCATCCCTCCTCATCAGGGAAATACAAATCAAAACCACACTGAGATACCACTTCACACCAGGCAGAATGGCTAAAATGAGCAAATCAGAGGACTGTAGATGCTGGCGACGCTGTGGAGAAACAGGCACCCTCCTACACTGTTGGTGGGAATGTTAACTGATGCAGCCACTCTGGAAAACAGTGTGGGGGTTCCTCAAAAAACTAATAATAGAACTCCCTATGACCTAGCAATAGCGCTGCTAGGAATTTACCCAAGGGATACAGGGGTGCTGATGCACAGGGGCACATGTACACCATGTTCATAGCAGCACTCTCAACAATAGCCAAAGCACGGAAAGAGCCTAAGTGTCCATCAAGGGACGAATGGATCCAGAAGATGTGGTTTATCTATACCATGGAATACTACATGGCAATGAGAAACAATGAAATCTGGCCATGTGTAGCAACATGGATGGATCTTGAGGGTGTTATGCTTAGCGAAATAAGTCAGGCAGAGAAGGACAAATGTCATATCTTTGAGCAATATTCTGAAAGGAACTGTAAATGTTAGGATCGAGGACAATGGTCCAGATACAGGAGAGATCTTATTCCTACACATCCCAGAGCTCAGGACACCCAGGCAAGAAACCATAGGAACATCTGGAGGTGGAAGCAGCAAGACCTGGAGAGAGGAGGAATCTGCAAGGGGCCATCTGCTACCCTATATGGAAGCTTTACTCATTCAGAAATAATTGAAGTAATAATTACTTACTTTGTATATCCGAAGTTGGCATAAAATATTCTTTTTAGTATGAAAATATGTTTTTTTTTAATATTGGCAATTGTATGCAATTTCATTCAATGTCTTCCATAATGACGTGAATCCTCTAGAGTGAGTTCTTAAAATAAAATATAATCATCCATCTATCATCTATCTATATATCTATCATCTATCTATCTACCCATCTATATCATCTCTCTATTATCTGTCTATCCATCATCTATCTACTAACTATCCATCTGTTCTCTATTAGAAATCTATTCATCTAGCTCAGCATTGATCCTATTGGCACATGCCTTTAGGACTATGAACATATTGTCTACAATTACTTATTAGACCTCTAATATTTAGATCCCAATGATTTCCAGGTCAGTCACTCCATTTCATTAAGGTGTTTGTTTGAGTGCCATTAACTTCTTAACTAAGTTACTGGTGGTCTCTGTACCATGTCAGAGAACAGTCACCCACTTTTCTGTGAAGTCTGTTCCTTCTCCATGAGTTAACAGCCTCCTGTGTGAGGTGGAGATCTCTTAGGAGAAGGGAGGCACCCTCCACACACGGGAATTCTATATGCAGATGACAGAGAGGGTTCCCGTATGGTGGTGTCTGTGCACATCAGGATGTAGGCACCACTTCCAGGCTTTGCAGATGATTGAACAGGCAGAGCCCAACACCCGAGAACCATCAGGATCAGGTCTCCAGGTGTGTCCATGCTCCACAGTTAGTTGTCATGTGAGGCTAATACATCGGTGTGGAAACTAAAAGAAATCTGATATTAGGAATCAGTGTCCTTTACTTATGATTCTATGTACACCAGAGTGGACATCAATATATATATTTTTATATGGAATTATGTATACAATGACTGTTAATGTTGAGTTTTTAAAGTATTGAGTATTGAAAGACTAGCTTGTGAAAGTTGTCTGCACAAAGTGTGCATCCTTTTAAATATCTTGTTGAGTGATAGATCATGATGAATTGTGATCCAATCATTTGTTTATTTATTCTTATGCTCAACAACCTGAGGTCAACTCTTGATCTCCCTCCAACATAATTGATACACAAATTATGCTCTCCCCACCCAAGACCAACATGTCTTGTGGAATTAACAAAGAGATGCCCACAAAAGGTCCTAGAAGAACCACAGAAGCCTGATTGAGTACCTGTCCACTTATTCCCACCCGTGCAAACATCTCCTCAAAATCAAGGGTAAAATACACCCTCGGGCAGTGGGAGCCCACACCTCTCTCCACACACAGGGATGAAGTGTCTGGGAGAAGGCAGAGCTGTGTTATATAAACAGAGGATATTATAGGGCCTTCTCTGTGCCTTGTGACAGATGCCTAAGTTGAGGATCTCAGATGTCAGATGTGGGACCATAGGGAAGGTTATGACGGGTAGTGACCGGCCCAGACTGATTCTTCTTGTTTCCGGGTGTCCTGTTCCAGATGAAGCTGCAAAATTCTGGCCCAACTGGTGAGTCTCTTGCAAACCTTGCACCTCACTGGCCATGTCTATGGATTCTCCAGCTCAACCAGTAATTTACAGTGGAATTGGGCCCACTGATCCCAGGAGTGGATGTTTCCTATATTATCATATTTTCTATAGTACATACTACAGCCCAGACCATGAGAGCCCCATATTCATCTGTTATGCAGTTAGTTAGGAAGGAGGGAGGAGGGATAAAGCAGGTGTTGGCCAAAAGCTTGGGGGTTCCTCCAGGATTAACAGCCACGCAATCAGTCACTTCTAAGGTCTAACAGGACAGGATA